CGAGCTCGTGCTGCGCGCAGCCCAAGTTCAACCCGGGCTTCTCGTCTCCAACGCACACGCCTCCTTTCCCCTCCTCGGCTGGGCGGCGCTCGCTTTCCCCCCCTGTTGTCCGCTGGCGGCTCGCCCCAAGCTGACACACGCCGAGCAGATGTGAGCGAGCCTGGCTGGAGACCCGCTGCAGCCGCTCCACAGCCAGCTCGTTAGCAACCCTGTCCCGCCGCTCCGCCCCGCCAGGTCCCAGCGGGAGAAATATGTGGCAGCCGGCAACGGAGAGACTGCAGGTAACGGAAGAAGGAAAGGAGGGAGTTGGAGGATAGAGTGGATTTGGGGGTGGGGTGGGGGCGATGCTGTTGTCATGTGACTGCAATGCAATGTTTGCGTGGCCCTGACCAGAGAAAGGGACAGCGGCAGCAACAACTTGGCGCCGGTCCTTTGCCTGGTCTTGATGGTCCGATCCCGCGCTTGCAACTTTCCCCTTCCCGGTGGCTTGCTTTCCACGATGGACGGAGGGGACCGAGGACCCTGGTCATCCGCCGCCACCTCGGATGACTTGCAGGTCGCGGGAAAGGGGGAAGGGGCACTGTCGCTTCCGTGTGGCTCTCGAGACTTCCATCTCCATCGCTTCCATCCCATTTCGAAACGCGTTCGCGTATGCGTGTTTAACGAACGGCTAGTGCGTGTGGAGGCTGGAAATCTAAAGCTCCGAAGAGCGTTCAGTCGAGAGTTTCATTGAGATCTGGCCGCAGACAGAGAGTTCGTGAGCTCTGTTCCCGACTAGAGACGGGGAGATTGCTGTGCTCAGCTCCAGTCGCTTCCCAGACCGTGCTGGCAGAGTGTGGTGCTTTTATAGAGAAGTCCTTGGCCAAAAAGGAGTGAGGAATCTCTTGAACCGGAGCCGGTGGAAAGAGAAGAGCTCGGCTGTTTTTGTTGCAGGTCTCTCCCTCTGAATTTCTCTTTTTCACTTTAAAATACTCTCCAGATGGTCAGCCAGAAAGGCTGCCAGATAAATTTACAGAAACCAACTTTTTTTGGCAGGCCAGAGCAGCATTAAATCCCCAAGTAAACCTTGAAGAAATTCTAAAGTGGCAAAGCAAAACAGTCTGGAAGGCTGTTTTGAATGTCTGGAGAGAAGAAAAAACACTATTGCAGAATAAAGAGATAGAAGACAAAGACTAGGTAGGCATGGGCATTACTGAGTAACCTCTGCATGGACAGAACATCTACAGTCTGGGGGACCCATATGCTTGAATTCTTCTGCAAGTATGATCTGGTCTGTCCTGGGTGACGCACTTCTAGAGTGTTGTGGTCTTAAAACGATGCTGAACTAATATGGGACACGTTTTTGAAAGTTGCTGTATATTTTGACCTTGATTCAACCAGTGTAATCTAAAGTGAGCTTGACTGTTCTCTGAAGATATTTGGGAATAAAGACTTCTGTATCACTCTGATATTCTTCTAGTAGCAGCTACAATTCTGTAGTGTGCTTTGGCATCTGGGGTGGTTGCTCCAAGACAAAATAATTAATCCTGTTCAAGTTATTCGATCACATCATGCTTTACTTAAAGTCATGTGTAGGCTCCAAAGCACAGGACCTTTGGCAAGCAGATGATTCTGGCTTTTGTCCTGCTTCATGATGTTTACACACTAACTTTTGATTCAGTGTTTATTTGGCTATATTGTACCAACATTACCTTGAGCCTCCTCTGCACTGCACACTGCCATTTTAGCAGGCTTGCTTTCTGATATCAGACTGTTATATAAAACTGTTGGTACAATGAAGAAATTAGGAATAGTTGTGCAGATGTTGACAAAAGTAATGCACCTTCTACTGTTATGAAACACACTATTAAAATGATACTTTTATTTCAACTCTTCAGGCTGAAGTTCTCAAGCCATTTCAAACTGGGTTTTCCTTGGCAGCAGTAAAATGTGAATATAAGTATGTCTGCTAACTTCGATAAGCTGCTACAACTTACTGTATTATTGGACTCTTCTGGATATATCCCATGGTTCAAACATTTCAAAGTTCAAAAACTCAGTCAGCTTTGATAATGTCTTTTTAAAATCAGTGTTGTTTGCTTTCTTGAGGCACTGTTCCCTCCAGAGTTATTAAGGGATGTTTCAGTAGATCTGCATTTGCATGTACAGACTGAGAGAGACCTTTTTCCATACTCTTGTGTCTATTCCCATATCTGTGTGTAAGCAAAGTCCAATTTTGAATGCGTCACAAAGCCTGTTGCTGATAGTCTCTTAGTAACAAAAAAGAAGAACTCCAAAGTAACCACAGTTGTTGTTTTAACAGTTTTAAAAATCAAGCAGAAGTGACTCATAAAAGTTCTTATCACGAGTGATAGATATTATGTTTGGGTTTTTTTTTTTTATGGTATTGGTATATATTTTGTCCTTAATGTTGCAGTCACATTTCTTCTTATAGCAACCATATTTGTAGACTTCTTATCCTTGAACATGCAGCCCGTAAAAACAGTCCATTAACCTAAACTGTATCCAGGGCATTGACAGCTGATTATAAAATATGATGCATTACTCTCAATATTTTTCTAGGAGTCAGCCCATATCTCTGCTTTGATAAAGTGATACACGTGGCTCTTCTCTGCATTAAAACAGCTGTTCTTTATGCGGCTACATCGTTGTTCCTTGAAGTCTCTGTTCAATACAGTTGCTTTACTGAGCAGACATGACCAAGACTTGTCTATTTTGGTTTGTTGGTCTGAGCATTTTTGGAGAAAATTTACCAAGAAGTTGGGGAAACAAAGAGAGAAGTACACACTTTCTGCAATAAGGCCTCTTTATAAAACTTCTGCCTCCTTTGATTATGAGTACTCTGTTATTTTGTTTAATGAATGATAATGCTTTCAAGAGGGCACTTCAGCAGTGCAGGAATAGAAAAGCTCAAAAGTATCAACAGTAATTTAGTACATTTGAAAAAGTGTGGGATAGCAGGCACAGGGCGTGTTGGCAGACAAGAAGACTGCTAGTAACCCTTTATGTGAAAAAGCAATATTTGAGGAAGGGTGAGATTGGTTTCTAACTTACGAGTTTATGAATTGGAGGAATATTCATTTCTGTTGCTTTCAAAATTAGGATTTGAATCAATGAGGTCATCCTTCCAGTTTATTCTGAACGCTTCAAAGCTGCTCAATATACCTAAAGCTAAAAAACATTTGGGCTTCCAGCAGAGGACTAGAATAACTGGATCTGTTGAATCTAATGCTTCTGGTCAGTCTTGCAGTGATTTGTACCATTATCCCATAGATGAACCTTCAAAATGTGTTAGAATTGTGATGATTCTGGTTCAGTTAAAGCTGGCTGGGTGACTTTGGGCCAGTCACTCTCAACCCAAACCACCTCACAGAGTGGTTGTTGTGGGGAAAATAGGAAGTGGGTGCATTATATATACCACCTTGAATTGTACAAAGTAGAGGCAGGATATTGTTGTTGTTATTATTATATTTTCAAAGTACAGAATATTGACCAAACACCTAAATACACCAAAACCCTCCACAAATGAAACAGAAAAAAAAAAAACTGAAACAGAGAGAGAGAGAGAGAGAGAGAATCCCAAATTAAAAAAGAGAAAAACATCTACCTTATATATTAAACTTATCTATAGTCCTGGTTTACTAATAAATACCATATAGTATGTGGTATTTATAGTATAAACAATAAAAAATATTGTAAAATAACACAAAATCTCTGCCAAAGTAGTACATGTTGTTTCATCCTTTGATTAGTAGAAAACTGCATTTTCCAAGACGGATAAGTCACACATATCCAAAAGCCATTCCTTAACATCTGGAATAATATTACTTTTCCAATTTCTCAATTTAACTCTTTTAGCCACCTCCATTTTGATACAGCCATAATTCCTGATAAACAGTCAGATTTGAAAGTTTTGGAACACAATTCAACATCACATCAGCATCTTTAACATTAAAGGTTTTCCCATAAATCTATTTATATACATTAAAATATAATTCCAAAAAGGATACTAAATGATCACATGAACATATCATATGGATCAGTGAACCCTCAAATTTTTTACACCTCCAAAAGAAGATCTGATGTCCATCTTTTCAAGTACATTCTTTGGGGAGTCCAATACTCTCTAAATACAATATCCTTAAGTTTTCAATAGAGATATGTTATGGGTTTTAGTTACGTCATGAATTCCACAAAATAAGACATCATCTCAGGTGCCTTTGAAATGGCCATAGCATCTGGTTCATGTTGATCTATTAAAACATAAATTGAAAATACTGCCACTGTTGTGAAATGGGAAAACCAAATTCAGTTTTAAGTTTTCTGGACATGAGGCTCTACTCAGAGTCACACACGCCCGGGTCACTGCCAGAGTGGATTACTGTAATGCACCCTACATGGGGCTGCCCTTGAAGAGTATCCAGAAGCTTCAACTAGTGCAGAATGCAGCTGCATGGACAGTTATGTGTGCCTCTAGGATGGCATGTGCTATACCTCTGTTCTGTGAGCTGCATTGGCTGCCAGTTTGCTTCCAGGTGCAATTCAAGGTGCTGGTTTTGCTCTTTAAAGCCTACATGGCATGGGTTCACGTTATTTGAGGGACCGCCTCTTCCCGATCACATCTACCCATCCCATCAGGTCCAGCAGGAGGGGTATGTCGTGGGTCCTGTCTGCTAAAGAGCTTCTTCTGATGGGACCCAGACAATGTGCCTTTTCTGCTGTGGCTCCTGGAACAACATCCCCCCTAGGTGAGGTTAGTCCCATCCCTGTTAGCCTTTCAGAAAGCTTTGAAAATGTGGTTTCTTCCAGCAATGTTGGGGATTCCACAGGGAGCCTGAGTGATGGTTGTATTGTGTTTAATGGGTCTTCTCATGCAATCTTGTTTTTATTATTTTATTTATCTTGGTTTTATTTATTTTTTTAAAGTGTCTTAATAGTTGTGAAATTGTTTTAACTGTTGGTTGTACGTTGTCCAGAGTCATGTTTAATAAGATGGGCAGCTATATAAATGTATTAAATAAATAAATAAATAAATAAATAAATGAATAAATAAATAAATAAATAAATAAATAAATAAATAAGTCAGAAGAAATCTATAAAACATTACATAATATTCATCATTACATAATAATTGGTTTAAAGTCATGATCCTGACTTCTGCCCAAACTTTCCAGCAGAACATTCTACCATCTATTTTCAGAGTAGAGTTTTTCCAGAGTAAAATATTCACTCATTATCAAAACCCAATCTGTACTCCAGTACGGTCTAAAGATTCCTGAAA